AGAGAAGACACTGTTGCTACATTCTGCAGGACTGCCCCAAACATCACCACATGGAAAACTAAACAGAGCAAGCCAATTTATGTTAAAGTGTGGAGTTAAAGTTCTCCAAATGCTCCTTTTACTGCTTAATCATCTTCCTTGCATCTCATCTTGTCATTTGAATGACATGGTGTTAAGAAATACCATAAAACATTTAATTTGCTCTTTCATTCAAATATTAGCTCTTGACTCCTGAAGATATATCCTAGCAGGCATGGAACTTGAATTAAAATCTAATTCTTACAATAATTATTGCTTTTTGTAGGTACCAAACACATACACAATCTTCTGTATCAAGTTATCAATGAAAGTAGCTGTGAATTTTCTCACTTGACCTTCTCTTGGAAAAGTAACTTTTGCACTAACTCCTTAAGCTAGTAATTTCCAGGCTAATACCCTCCCTAGTAATTTATCTTAAGGGATGAGATACTTTCAGGGTCAGTACTTATTACTAGTACCTCCCAAAACTAGTATTTCACAGAAATTGAGGAGATCAGGAACTTTTCATACCAAACAAGTTTTGTTTCTTTGGCAATTTCAGTTTTAACAGTGTATTTCACTCTACCCAATTCAGATGCTGGGGAAGAGTTCACAATTGAAAAGCAAAACTCAGTATTTTCCCTTAAATGGCAAGAAAAGCTCTTCTCTGTATGTATCAGTAGATCAAATTTACTGTGATTTTGATGTTTGAAGCCATAGAAAATGGAACTCAGCAATCCAGTATAATGACAGCCCCTCTGAACTGTAGCATTACCCGCTTATCTACCATAGTCAGTAACACAAGTGCTCAGTTATCTGCAACTCCAGACCAGCATGATGCTTCAATTTGTGTTGTCCCTCAACTGTCACCTTCACCCCCCAAATCCCAACATATCAAATGCTACAACACAGTATGATCTGATAAGAATTGTGTTCTTCATTGTATTAACAGCTCACTATGTACTTCAGAGTAATATATTAAACCAATCACCACCCTGAAAGGCCCCAAACACTGGATTGATCCTTAGAAAATAGTTTTTAACTAGATTAGTCCTTGGGGTAAATCTGGTAGCTCCATAATATAAACTGCAGCCATTTACAATCTCAATAATACCACCCTGCTGTATCCCTCCTCCCGTGGAAGCAGGAGGATATGCTTTCATAAAGGAAGTCTAGGAGCACACACATGTTAGAATGAGCTTTTGCTCTCTATTTCTACTCAAATTCAAGGCTACCTGGCTGACAGTGCCAAAGCCTTTCCCCCTCCAACTTTTCACAGTATTGTATATTACTACAGCACAGAAATTCCATTTTAGAGCAGACAATCTAATTCTTCATACTGAAGGCCACACAAAGCAGTACTGTTAACATACATTTAACTAATTGTAGAACAGATAAATTGCACTGCCAGGGACTTTAATAAAATCACTTGATTCATCTATTCCATGGTTTCTTCCATAAATAACATTTTATGATGAAAACAGTCAACTGCAGTCACAGTATTCCTATTTATTTTTAGTGTTTTGTGTTATAACCGTCATTCAGTGTAAGGCCATTTTTAATTAGGTATGAAGGGATTTGCTAACATATTACTTATTAAAATACAACCTTTATTAGATAAGCATTTAGCATAGATTTTTTTCCTTAAAGGCCAGATACATCTGTTCTTAGTTTCCATTTAACAATACAATAGCAATGATGGCACTGAAACAGGCTGAGGATATGCACAAGACAGGGGAAAATAAAAAAAAATCCAGTTATGCCTATACTACAAATACTCAATTCTTCACTGTGTAAACCACAGATCTGAGATCACCTCTGTCCAGAGACACAGGAATACCACACACAGTATCCCCATCTACTCTCTTTTCCATCATCTACTACGCATTTGTGAAGAATTTTGAAATAGGTGTCTTCATTCTTGTATTCACTCTTATATAACAATATTCTTTTTCTGTGCTTAAAAACAGGAGTAACTAACACCAATGATCAAAGAGTGGTTTGATGACTAAGGACAAATATCTCCCACATTTGGAAATGGGATAAACAATTTGTTAGGCAGCAGAAGGCTGCCAGAACAACACAGGAGCCTAACTACTTGTGAGATGTCCTAAGTCAGCAGCAAGCATCACAATCCCCTACAGACTTGTCTGTGCACTCACATCTGTCTCATCTAGAGATTTTTTTTATAAAAGGCTAATATACAAAAAAACCCAAAACACCCCAGAACACAAAGACATGGCAAACTACCAAGAGAAAACAGTTACTCCTTCGAGAATCACATTCACCTCCTCTGAAGCAGAGTGAGTGGAGTAATCCAAATTGGTAAAGACAAACTACACTCTGAGCCAACCTCTCCCTGAAGTTTAGGGAAGTACAGCAGACCAGAAACTTTTCATTACTGAAGCAGTTTTTGCAGTATGTCATACCACTGGGACAAGTCCAGCCCATGCTCTTGCAGGTGAAAATAGCTTAAATATGGAAACCTGACCATCACTGCTGGTGGGAAAGGTGTTATGAAAGCTCTAGAGCATAAAGAAAACACTATTCCAACTTTGAGAACAGACCTACTAATAGGTGTTTTCCACTGTCTGTGACACATTTGTACCTCAGTCCATCCATATATCAAAGCCAGATCACTGTTTCAGCGTAAGATTCTACAACTGCCTGCAAACAAGGACAAAAAAACCTCACATCAGAGGTAGATAACAACCCACTCCCATGTGAGCTCATGCCCAAAACTTCTATAAAATAGCTCCTCCATTTCTCCCACTCTCCCTTAACACCTACCATAAAACAGAACAGATAGTTCCAGAAGGATGAAACACTGCAGTTAAAAATAAAGGAAATCAATTTCACACTCCAGGCATTTGCATAGACAGCTCTGTTGAAGTTTACAAAGCAACAAATTAGCCCAAAAATCTTAGTAATTAAGGCATTCAGATAATAGCTAGTTTTCATGCTTGATGTTCCACCTCATTTATCACTCGGTATTTGTATAAGGTGTAAATACATCGACACTAAAGCAACAATATTGAAGATTTAAGTATTGTCTTCATCTGAGAAAACACAGACAACACAAAAACTGAAGTTAGTGAACATGGATTTCCAGGTTCAGCTAGTGTTAAGGACACAAGCTTGCTGTGATACTCAGCTGAATCTTGCCTACAACCAATCTGGGTTCGAAAATAAGTAGGCAATAATATTGGAAGTAAGAAATATTGTACAGTAAATTGAAAAAAATCCAAAAAATCATAAAATCATTAAGGTTGGAAAACACCTACAAAATCATCAAGCCAAACTTTTGACGTAATACCATCACACTCACTAAACCATATAAAAAAGTGACACATCTGCTAAGGTTTTCTTTGTAAATGGTTTACCTTTCAGTAAGAAATAGAGTTGCTTTATTTTCACAATCTCACAGCTTCGATTAGAATTAGAAAAAACATCCTTGGTTTTTTTGAACAAAACACTGATGATAATCTCCCAGCTAATGAGGCTTTTTCTTTTGTTAGTCTCATGGCTAAAATAACACTATATGTGCTCTTCAGCAATGAAATATAGTTGAACAAGAAATTAATCTTTTCTTCTATAATTAAGGAAAAATAATTAAAATCTGGCATGTTATTACAGGCTAAGTAGAGTTCTAGATCATTTTTGACCATCACATGATTCAGATGTCAGCAAGATAGCCTGAATAATTTAATGACCCATGCCACTTTAAGAAAAAGCTTAAAGAAATAAAATTTATAATCATGGTCAAGTTAAAGCGCTTAGTCAATGGGGCTGAGAGCAATTCAGCTCACCTAAGACACCCACTAGCTGATCCAGCCAATTGCTCTCCTATCTACTGCACAGACCCTGATGGCCACTGTGCTGTCAGGTTTCTGACACATATGCAAACCTCTACTGAACTGCTTTCCATAATTCTGCTGTTAACTCACACCAGCTGGAGAGGCAGAAAATCATTAGCTACACTTGTTACTCATTTAAGAGTCTAAAGGTACTATTTCATAAACACCTTACCCCCTTTCCTCTTTCTTAAATCCTTGTTCAAGTTTTATACATTTATAGTTTGCCTGAAACAAACACCTCCTTGGGTACCAATGCTTCAAAATAATTTACTGCTTCAAAATAATTTACTACATAAGCTGTTGCTACAGAGGCAGCTAGAATTCAGGAGCAAAGCTACATGGGAACAACTATGTTACTCAGGTTCCAATGGAAAAAAACATTGTATTAGCTAGGACATGAACTTAAAAGATTAACACCTGTCAGAAAAACAGTCATTTCTGAGAAACTTTAAAGCTTCATCTGTTATCAGTCAGTTATCTTAAGCTTTTAAGCTTCTTTGTTGCAAAGTTTTACCTTGACAAATTAAAACATGTAGCATTACAAACACACTGATTATTCATTGAATGAAGAAACAGAACAGATTGGGAAAGCAAATGACCACATGAACATTAAATGTTGGCCACAGCTAGTAAGTTAAAACAGTTCCTCTTCTTTGTATGTAAGAGTCAAGCAGTTGAACTAACATAACAATCATACCATTTGCAATTGGTTACAGAATGAACCCTTCCAAATCCCTTTCAGAAAGAACTGCAGTACCTCAGCTCAATATCAACTCTAGGTTATGCCACAGTTCAATGAAAAAAAGGGCAACATTTAATTCTCTACATCAGGGTGGAGAAATAAAGGCTGAAGAGCAAAAAAAGTCAGTGATTGTGTTACAAGTTATAAATAATGTGACATCCCCTTGCATAAACACATCAAAATTAAGTCTGATCTATGCTGAGTACTAAAATAGTGGTCCTTAAACTTGCAGCAGAAAGTTAGAATGAGTGTTTCAAAGCATGAGAATCCAGAGCTAAAGACATTGCTGAATCTTTTTAGGATGACAAGTTTTCCAGGTACAGCCAGTGACAACTGCAAGTATCATGAAGGTAAAAATCTGAAAACTTTGCGTAACAACTTACTGTGTAAGTGATAGCTGCCAACATTCCAATCACAGTTAAGGAACTAATGGAAAATGAAAGTGCAGTCAAGCCATCTGCAAAAAAAAACAAAAACAAAACTTGTTGAAAATACAGTAGATGTATAAGAACACTTCTTCCTAAATTAGTTTCCAGAAGAGATTTAAGTTCATGAGAAAGAAGAAAAAGATGAAGACATAGTTACCAGCCATAACTGAGATGAAAAATTGACCTAGAAGAGCTTTTTGACCACAGATCTTTATCCAAATTGGAGGATCCAGGACAGACTCATGTCTTTGTTACAAGCTCACTGAAGTTGCATTCACCCAAATGGTTGAAAAGCCATTACTGAACTTGCTCCCATAGCTGTCTAATATCTCTTCAAGACTTATTTCTGGCCTCTTCAGGATGCTGTGGTGACTCACACAACTTCTATGCACATTCTGGATGGTTCATTTTAGTTTTGTTTGCTATCACCAGATTTCTCCTACTAAAAGCACTATCCAGAATCAGACAAGCATGGATCCTTCAATCAACCAAAAAAATCCTCAGTTTCACTCAATGTACACACAGACCAACGAACTGGAAAAAGTTCAGGGACTACAAGAGTTATTGTAGCCTGTGTATTGTACCCTAATAATTAAGAGATAGTAGATGAGAAGAGTGATGAAATAAAAACTTCAGCTTCAAGAGTGACCAAAAAAAAATTCAACTCCCTAAAATGTCCTGCATAATTCTTCAGAACAGGTCTGTCCCTAACCTCACCATGCAAGACATTGCACGTGGTTTTGGTTACTGAGTAACATCGAAACTTATAAATTACAGAAATTAACTGCCAGCAAAATATTTCATGTTTGTGCTCAGTCATAACCAGAGTTTACTGTTCTCCCCCATGTTCTCCCCTCCAGTTAATTCAAGAATTTAGAGTACAGTTAGAGTACAATTTTTACTTCTACTCACACAGATACACTAGCCTGTTTCCATTCATTAGCTAGCTCCCATTCTTATTTACTGAACACAGCACTAAGCAGTGGCAAACTGAGAAATCATAACCTTCCTCTATGAGAAGCTGCATCCTTCTGACCAACCCTACAGGCCTCCTTCCAAAACCACCAAAAACTAATAGAACAGCACAACCAAATCCAACTTCACTGCTCAAATCTCTGCTTTACTATTTTTGCTAGGTAACATCAAATAACTTCCCCAGAGCTAAAAAAAATATGTTCCTGTGTTTCAAATACTATAGCTATGTTTAAAACATTAAAAAAACTAAACAAAACCACCCAAAAACCCTCAAAAATAAACCTAGTACTATTTTTCCTCCAGTAGCTGTGAAAATTTGAGTTGTTTCTGAAGTTTAGAGAAAAAAAAAAGTCACAAGTGACCCCCATTTGTAACACACCACACTCTGTACTTACATACAGTATTTGATGATCCTCCTGTACAAGTATTTGAAGCCAACATTTAAAATCCATTTTAAAAGTCTGAACTATGCTCAATGGAACATTAAGAAACTAACTGGCTGAAAATTTGATAATTGTATATCAGAAGTATAATATCAGGCTTTGCCTCAGTGGATGAGTTTGCATTTCTTTCATAACCCCACAATCAACTACCAAGTGATGATTGGATGTTTGTTCTGTGTCTCAAGATCTTTGTATTTCTTGATACAAGACAAAGGAAAAGGGTAAATTAATATAAAAACAGGACAACAGATACAAGTTAAGACTACAAGCAAGAATTTTGTCCTTATTTCTCCAGCACCTGGAACACAAAAGAATCTTTTGCAGAGAGTTGCTGTCTATGGAATAGCTCTATGAAAACACAAGGGCCCCCCTACCTGGGGGTCTTGGGAGACAGCAATCTGATTATAAGCCAGCAGCATGCCCTGCCAGCATGGAAGTTCTATGGCATGCCAGGCTGTATCAACAGCAGCATGGCCATCTATTAAAGGAAGGGACCATATAGCACAACCAGCTCTGAGGACCTTACTACAGGTTAAGACTGATAAATCTGAGCAAGTTAAGGTAAGAACTACGCTGGTTGGAAGTTGGAGCACATGCTGTGCAGAGCAGCTAAGTGAGTCAGGCTTGTTTGGCCTGGAACAGAGACAGGTTTGGAGACACCCAATACAGCCTGTCTCACCTTAGCAAAGAGGTGGAGCTCGGGCTCTTCAGTGGTGCATAGCTGTCAAGTGTGAGACAATGGGTGATAGCAGTATATCCACAACAAGTAAAATGAGAGATTTTTCCACAATGAGTTCAGTCTCCACTTACAAGTCGCAAGAGAATGCGGTAGAAAACAAAATCAGACTTTCACGTCCCAACCCAGCATCTTAAGTTTACTTTCCTAGAAATAAACATTGGCTATATTGTATTTCATAGCAAAGGCAGAGCCAAATACTTTGTTACAATCACATCAAGGTCACCTGGAAAAATTAGCTTACATCTCAGCTCAATCATTATCACAACCTGTATAAACTTTAAGAAGCAGTTTTTCTTGTGCTGTTATAATCTTTGCAAAGCAAGAGAAACACCAACAAGCAGTTAGCCAAAACATTCAATAAACTATGGATTTGTCCTCCTCATCTCATGCCCTCACAAACACAGATTACAGCACAGAACATATTATGACTAAAGACTCTTCAAGGATGTCAAAGCAAACAATAAGGGCTTTGAGTATTTAAGTGTCAAGAGGAAGAAGAGGTAAATAGGGGCTTGTTGCTGAGTGGGGCAGGGGACCTCATGAGACAGGACTTTTCAGGGACAAGTCTGAGGTACTGAATGCCTTCTTTACCTCAGTCTTTTACTAGCAAGACCAGACTTCAAAAAATCCAGGCCAGGGAGCTCAGTGAGAAATTTGCAAGGAATATGTGCCCTCAGTGGAAGAGGATCAGGTTAGAGAATACCTAAGCAAACTGTACATATAAAGTTGAAAGTCCCTAAAAGGATTAGCCAGCTCTGTCAGTGTTTGGTCTATGTCACTGCAGGGAGCTTTTAATCAGTACCAAATTCCTAGAATAATGCAGAATATGACTTGATGAAGGCTTGTATGACTATATCCTAAAACATTCACACAGAACCAATACTCTGAGACATATCAAGGAAAAAGCACAAAATAATAGAGTACTTATGCATTGGGATGAATATTTGTTAGATAACTTTATATTTACACTTTTTTGAACACATTTGAAAAGTGACATCAAGTCTGTCTTAGCTCACCTATAAAACACTTCCTTCACACTTTTACTCTGAAAACATGCTCTGGCTAAGCACATGAACTACATCACCTAAGTGTTAAATACTATTCCATGGAGTTTGGCCTTCTCAACAGCTCTAGTGTAAAGTATAACAAATGCAAACAACAATTTCAGAAGAGGTCAGTACTGTAAGAGCGAAGGGAAGAACTTGTGATATCCTCAGGACTTTCCTGTATAAAGAGACAGAACCACTTGTCTCATTTTTACCATCAACAGCAGTACTGCATTTCATTAGGTAAATGATTGAAGACTCTCACAAGATGATGCACATTCACCATACACTGAAAGTCAGTGAACTTCAGCATCCAAGTAGCATTTAAGAGCTGAGTTAAGTGAAGACTATGGAAGGAAAGTATCCTCCTCTCCCCACCATGAATATCAGCAGACACAACACTGGAGTCCTTGTTGTCTAATCAGGACTTGTATCTAGAGTACAGAGAGGAGATGTTGGCGGTTTCTGCTTTCAAGATAGTTCTAATTTTTGTTTTTCTCTGAATGGGAAGAACAGTCTTATTGTAAAGTAGGTAAGCAGTCAGAGAAAAGTTAGAAAACTTCAACCAAGGAAGTAAATTATCTTGTTCAGTCAATGAACAAGTGGCAGAGTTTAGTCGTGTAGCAACCTGTGCAAAGCCCAGAACAAATCTCAAACTTACGACTACTTCCAAATTCTTCAAACAGGAGCTTCACTTTCTCCCACTCTGTGGAATTCTTCTTGTTGGGAATATCCAAAGGAACAAAAGCACTGTAATAAAGAAAAATAACATTTCTTACCCTAATTAGTGAAATATAAGGCAAATTCTACTTCCAAATTGAGAAAATGGAAATCCATTCGTCCCTGAAAAACGGCAGTGTTTCAACTTTATTCACATTCTCCTCAAATACTGCATTTATATAAGCAGAGTACATGTATGTGTGTATACAGTCAGGTCTGAGGCCAATGATTTTGTTTACCAGTCCTGAAAGAGGTAAGGACCCTACACTCAAGTATTATTAAAAGACTTCAAAAAAGTATCATTAAATCATTAATATGATTTACTATCCTGATCTGATTCATAAGCAGAGGACCAAACAAACTTTAAGCATCAATTGAGACAAATTCTTGTATAAATATATACTTCTGAAAGCCAAAATAAAATAATTAATGATTTCCCAACCAACCATTAAAATATAAAGGGACATGCTTATCTTCCATTATTACAATTAAACACATCTGCTACATTCCATTCTTCGTTCTGTAGCTGGCCCAGAGAACCGAGCTACAAAGGAGTTAAGTTTTTTTGTTCTTCCAATAAGCAGACTAGCAAAGAATGCTCAGAGAACAATGTCAGGTAAAACAGTCCCCTAGCTGAAAGTTTCCTGTTGTCAGGCTCACCATCTAAAGTCAACTAATAACCCTTCAGCACCTCTACAGACAAAACGGCTGATTTTGCACCAGCTGGAAAAATAGCATAAAACACTCCATAGCAAAAAAAAACACTGAAACCATAGCTTTGAGACATGAAATAGAATGTCTATAAGTCACAAGGAAGACAGATTTGAAGGGAAACACTTTAGGCAAAGAATGAATGAACTCAAACAGAAGTCCATAAAGTAGCATTCGAACTTGTATGACAAAGACTACATAATTAGACCCCTGCTTGAAGTCCCAAACAAGTATGTATATTCCAGGAGCAGTCTCAAAGTACAAAATACATGCTTTTATTTCAAAGGTTAAGGCTAAACCAACTGTGTGCACATATCATCACATCAAAACCAAACTGATACTCTGCCAAAAAAAGAAGTTGACATTTTAAAAGTTGAGATTTTAATTTCTAAAAAAAAAAGCTTCTTGACTGTGCAAGAGGCAGATTGAGGGCTAGCATTTGCTTAACTTGACACATGCTTATTGACTTAGGATTTAGTTCTTGTATCTGCCTCTAGTAGTAATTATTTCTGTAAAACAGAATCCAGACTAAATAAAGACACAGGTATTAAAACCAAGTAAAGCAACATTTCTACCAACAAATGATAGAAAGAAATCACTGCAGGTTTATTTGCTAAAAATGGTTAAAAAAGGAGACTGAGAACACAACTGAGCTCAAGTCCTTTTTATTTCAGCACGACCACGAATTTGCTATTTGTGGACCACACGCAGGGAACAAACAAGATGGAAGAACATTTGAGGATATTCATAACTTGCTTACTCTTTTCCCCCTGAGAACAATAGGATTTTTTTTCTTTTCCCCCAAGACTCCCTACAACCATCATGTCAAAGGACACTGATCAGAGTAGGGGCTACAAAATACATTATTCTCTTCAATTAGCACTCAAATAAAGCTTAAATGAAGGAGATGGACATCTGATTCTGCTCCTGCTCAAATTCCACATACCAAAAGCCCCAGAAATGAACACAGGAGTTATAACTTTACGTAATGCAAGCAAACAAAAAGCCTCAGCATTTGATACTTAGAGTTCTGGACATAAATCAAATTATTAAATGTGGTAATTTTAAGAACAGAAGCTAATTGCTATGCTGTTCAAAACACATCCTGGGTAAATTATGATTAAAAACTAGATCAATATCTAGGCTGCAGAACAAGAACAGTAAATGCAAGACAAGCAGTTTAAAACTATTCACTCTAGGTAGGGCTAATACACAAGTGTAGATGGGTAAAGTTTGATCCTTAAAGGGTGTCATTAACTGTTATCCTTAGGAAATTATTTTCCAACACACCAGATTTAGACTAATTTCCTTAAGTGAGTTCTGCTGTGATAATTTGCATAACTATTTATGGGATAATTAGATATATTCATAGCTTTGTAAGAGCTAACGAGTCCAGAAAATTTAAGGTAACCAGTTTAATTCTAAACACTGACAGTCAGGAAAGCAAGCATTTTGGAACCAAACATTCATTAGCCTCAAAAACAACCACTTTGTTTCATACTAGACTGCTTAAGGGTGTTGTAATCAAAATTGCAGTAACTCAAGCCCCTTGAAAAGAACATGACATTTAGAGAAAGTAAAAGGAAAGTACATAACTTATGGGAAGGGAAAGATATGACAAGTGAAAACTAGTTCTGAGCATCTCAGTATAGATTTGCCCTATACTTTGCTTTTAATGGTTTTAACTCTATATCAAGTTATTTGTGTGCAGAGGATTTAAGTGTTACAGATATGCACATTTTTGCTGGACAACTGTTTTTTAACAGACAAGTAAGAGGTACAAACACTACTCCTGATAACAATTTGGACAATAACATCCTGCTTTACTGAGCTGTGTGATCAAGTCAGAAAAAACATCAAGATTATGTGGCACAAAATAGATTTGTTTCCCAAAATACTCATAATGATCTCTAGTGGAGCAAGGGCAACATCCTGGTAAGGCACTCAAACTTTGAGCTTAACATAGCTTTTATAATTAATTTGAGGACAGCTGACCAGAGAAGAGGAAAAAAAAATCTCATGTAGATCTTTAAAACTATTTATTGACCTGTTTTAATCACAGATTACTTCCTAAACCAATCAGTTCAGGAGCTGTCTGGCTATGAGACAATAGTCATGTAAGCATGGGAAGAAAGACTATTTGTTATGCACTTAACAGGAAATATTCCAACCCCTCTCACTATTGTAACCTTTGTGCAGGAGCATTCTAGTCCATTAAGATTAGACACCTAGAGTCAAAGCCAGTAAAAAATTCCAGTCTAATTTAACATTACTCTGATCTTAACCTGTGAGAGAATCCCCCACTACTGCAAGATTAGTCTTCACTACCACATTCAGTCAAACCACTTATACAGAAGCTTCAGCTCCAACATGTTTATCTCTTTCCTGTCACACTGGACTTCTGTGGCCACTCCCTGCCCTTGTTATGAAAACAGCTAAGACAAGTAACTTCAGAAAAAGCAGATACAAACACTGAGACATGCTACTTAATCTATATATAATTACACTAGAAATAGAGTTCACATTTTCCTTCAGCACAGTCACCTCAGTTGCCTCTAAAACTGAGCCTTTTCCCCTTGAAGGGAGTCTTGCAGTCTCACTTAGAGGGGAAATACAAGAATTACCTTTTTCTATCTTATGGGGAGAGAGGAACAAACATGCTTACAGCTACTGAGGATTCAGCCAACACCTACTAGAGACACTACCAAGCTTTCTAAACCAGATGTGTTACACAATATATCTGTCAATACCTATGATGTGACCTAACTGTCAGAAACAGCTTTTTAACAGAAATTTCAGTAGTATTTCTAGACAATGATTAAGGTAATAAACTCTACAATCTCTCGTGAGAGTAAATACCTTACCTCACTTAAAAAGATGAAAGACTTGGTAGAAATGTACCTTTAACTTTTAGCAAAACTAAAGCAAAATTCCAGTAAGATGGTATACAACTGGAAGCATTAATTTCACTCTAGTTTCTGCTTCATGCTCCAGAACTTTGATGGATCATTTCAGCATGCACTTTACAATTTTTACCAAGTTTATTGCTGCAGTCAAAATGCTAAAAAGCTTATGACACAACAGACATTAGAAAGATTCTGTATTGGTGTGCATGTCATGCTTAATGGTGATGTGAAATCAATTTTCTTCTACCATTTGGAGTTTCAGAACAACAGCACTTGCTGAAAACAGGTTACTCACTTCAGTAACATTTTAAACAAATGCAAGCAAAAGCTTTCTCATGCAAGGCACAATTAAGTAAAGTATAAGCCCACACTACACTTACATTCTTCAGACATTTCCATTTAGCAAAGTAGAAGCACATAACATCGAATCATTTTCCTAAAAAGCTGTTTTGCAATGTCCATTTCAGAAAAAGCACTTGAGAAAGGCAAAAAACTATTTGATGAACATGGATAAGGACAAATTTTTTGCTCCCTGTTGTACACTGAAGAATTAATGTAGTTGTGTCAAAGCCATCATGTCCTTGACATCGATTCAAACTGCACATTCAGTCAGCTTGGAAGCACAAGTACCTCCACAATTAAGAAAACAATTTTATCTTCCCATTAAACTCTTCTTTTTCAGGTACATAACTCTCGGGATACTTAAGCCCTATTAGTGATTAAGCTAATGCTGATTATACAGATGGAGAGCATCATAATTTACCTCTTAGAAGCACAGAAAGAACTCTGATAAATCTTGCATAGAACAGTGCTCAATACAAATACTTACCCAATTAACAGAAGAACTGCACAAATCGTGATGAATCCCAGAGTGTATTTGAGTGCAGTTTTGACCTGCTGAATATTAAAGGGAATGTTAATACATTGACATAAAATGAATATAAAGGGATTTGTGCAAACTATGAAAAAGTATACTTAGCAGAACAGGTATTCTACAAAAAAACACCACAAAAAGCATCAGTAGTTTTATAAATAAGTCATAAGCACATGTTCTTGAAGAGCCTCATAGCTTGAGAACGGTGAACAATGACATGGAATTCTGCTTCCACTATAAGCTATGTATTTGAGCAGCTGTGGCTGGATATATTCAGCACAAATACACTCAAAGAAAATACCACTGATACTTTATATTATGGCTATTATTAAAAGTCTCATGTTAAGGTTACAACTAAACAGAAGGGAAAACAATAATGATTAATTGGTTAGAAGTTTCTTAAGAAAAGTATTTTCATTTGAAATGTAGCACCTTACTGGCATGAAGTTACTGTATTCCCTGGGAGGTCTCAAGTCAGTGCATTACACAAGTAAGCATGTTAGCTTCAGGCAAATTATTACTGCCTACTTCAAGAAATAATGCAAACACTACAGTAAAAAGACTAAATTTGAGTACCTACTTCAGAATCAGAACCATTTTCCTATTCTCTACTTTAAGAAATGTGACTATATATGGTTTTTATTCTATGGAAAGTCTCACATGAGACATTTTAACTTCCTGTGAATGAAATCTTGCTCAAAAGAATTTTTAGAAAGTTTAAAGAATTCATGAAAATAAAGACATTAATTACTTATCTCACTAAAGTTCCATGTCATGCGAGACCACAGCGCTTAGACTGACAATGTCAGACTATGTCTTACTACAAGCTGCTCCAGGATTTTTATGGAACTATAGTAATAGACTTAAAATAAATATTACAATATTAATACCATTTCTTAGTTAAAAAATAATTTTTTCATAGTTGGGCTATAGTCATTTGCCTTTTCATTGCTCGGTGCATTTGCTAGAGTAAACTTACTGAGCATGTGTTGCCATCATCTTCTTCCTTCTCCTCATAATAGAAATAGACAAAGGGAATCCACAGAAAGACACAGAACAGAATAATCGAGTACAAAGCTAGAAGGAAGAATTAAATGAAGAGACAGTTACATCGGCACTTCATTTACTACACAGTAATTCAAAGCAAAGAGTAAAACATTAATTTCCTCCCATTCTAGCTCTTAATTTCAAGCATTGGAAAGTTAGTAAAATTCACTAGCCAGCATACAAACTATTACTGTTTTGTGAACTCCAAAGTGAACTCTTTCAGACTAACAATTTCAGCTCTATCTTCAACTCAGCAATAATGAAAGACTAAAAGTAATTAACTGTATGCAAGCAATATACAATATTAGCACACTAGCTTAAAGTATAGTGAATAAAAGCAAGCTAAACAACCCAATAATAGGTTGTTCAAAAAAATGTATATCAAATGAAATTGATTTAAAGCTATTTTGATCACTGGACTCAGTATCAGATTCTACTATTAGCATGAGTACATCACAGATGAAAGACATGGTTCTTACTGATTTCCATTCAAAAAGAAACCCTCCTAGACATTCTAGAACGGTAGTGTTATAGATACATATTATATTGTTGGCTTTTTGCAAATATTAAAATGAATGTTATATGTATAAAGTCAGAAAACTTGGTTATATTTATATAGTTCTTTCTATTTCTGTTATTGATGAAACTCAGAAATAATGGTACAATATACATATATGTTGAGCTATGGCATAGTATTAAAACAAAAACTACTTTTGTTTGTATAACCCAAAGACTCAAAAAGATAGAGACCCCCCTCCATTCTTAGATTATCTTATCCAGATGAAGACAGCAGTGACCAGAGCTCTGGGGGAGGAATTTATTGCATTTCTGTTATCAAGGAATGTGAAACTCGGTGGAGCCAAAAAGATTGATTTATTGGGAAGGGGGTGAGTCAAAAACTAAACAACGAAACATCCAAAATTTAAGAAGAATGTTTGAATCATGTATGAGAATTTATGAATATGTAGTAAGGTTCTGTTTTTAAGGGACAATCCTTTGTTAGTAAAGTGTGCTCTCTTAGCTGAATGCAGAGACACCCGACCATATCTGTATACTTTATTTTTATCTCCTAATTGTCTCTTTATTAAACTTTTAAATTCTATATAAAAATATGTGAACCTCATTTTTCACAGTACTACTTCAATATTGAGAATGCTTTCAGAAATCAAGCCTATCTAAACTATAATCTGTTTTTTTAGATTACTCCTAAATCCACACAACAATGGGCCAGTAAATTAGGCAAGTTACACGCATCATTAGTCTGAGATTAGAATAATCAGCCCATAGAGGTCACCACAAGCACAAAAAATCCTCACTCCCAAATTATATTACACTGAATTCAGCATACCTTACTCATGAGGTATGCCCTTAGCTCATTACACAATGAGACTGTGATCCATGTTTCTTCCAAGGGGATGAAGCAAGAAACACATTGATTAAAAAGACTATGAACTGTATGAGTAACTTTCTTTACAAAGAATCATTAAGGTTGGAAAAAACCTGCAAGATCCAATTTTTAAACATGTTATCTGCTGCAACTAAACTGCTAGAGAATGACATATTAAACAGATCTTCAAGTATTACATGCAGTATTGCAAACATGTGGTAGGATAAACTCCAATCTACACTTAAAACTGAAAAAGCTCTGTAATTTGCTCTGTTGAAAAACTTTGTTGCCACAGTAATTTTACAGGACTAGCACAGAAAAAAGGCAGCTTTGGATTTGCTTTTCCCAAGAAAATAATTCCAAGACAGATCTTTTTGTTTATGTATCAGGTGGTTTTAAATTGCCTGTGAGGATTTTTTTTTAGTAAAAATTGAAAATTGAATTTATAACTCACATATTGAAGCAAAAGATTGTGCTTTCTATTTTACTACAGAAGCCAGATGAAGAATGGCTGAGTTGGTCTGTTCAGCCTGGAGAAGAGGAGACAGAGAGGAAAACCTCACTGCAGTTACAGCTTCCTCATGAGGGAAAGAGGAGGGGCAGGCACTGAGCTCTTCTCTCTGGTGACCAGTGAGAGGACCCAAGGGAATGGCCTGAAGTTGGATTAGGGGAGGTTTAGGATGGGTATTAGAAAGAGGTTCTTCCCCCAGAGGGTGGCTGAGCACAGGAACAAACTCCTTCAGGAAGTAGTGGCAGCACCAAGCCTGACAGAGTTCAAAAAGTGTTCTCAGGACTATTCTCTCAGGTGTGTGATTCTTTATATTTATATGGCATCATTATTTGGGTGTTCTATGCAGGGATAGAAGCTGGACTCAAGGATCTTAATAGGTCCTTTCCAACACATATTCTATGGTTCTAAGTAACTATGTGACTGTAACTTCAACAGATTTGCCCAAGCACCTATCAAAGAGACAGGAAGCCTATCAGCTGGTTTTTGAATTTTAATCTTCAGAACTCATGAAAAAGGGAATGCAGCACCTTTCATCAGCCCATACAACTTAGTTACCTGGGGGCAAGCCTCTAACTGCCTGCTGTCCTACCCAATAAAAGGGCTGCTTGTTCCCTGAAAAGCTAACCGCAAAAGCAAACGTCTTACAGCAGCAAGCAGCTAGTCAACAGAGTGACAAAGATATTCCCTTCCCCCTAACTCCCCTGTGACCTTGTGGCATAAAACATTGTCTCAGCTTTCAGGGACTGCTCTTCTTCTGGTTCAGAGGTTCAGCTTTTGTTACAAACATTTTTCTGGGTTGTATCAGAAGCTTGAAGCACTATTACCGGAAGTGTGCTTCACTACAGGGCCAGTACAACAGTGTTTCCTGCCACAGTTTAAGGGATCTTCAGTGAGAACTCCTTCAAAAGGTGTTTGACTGTTGTTCCTTAGAACAAATTGTTCTAAGCTATAGGTTGTTCCTTAGAGACAGCTATTATCTTAAGTTAGCCCTTCTGCTGATTTGCACCATATCAATACAAAGACACCTTAAGTATGAGAAAGTTACACCTCATAGTAGTCTTCAAGTAACAAGAGTAATGGTCCCTTAATTATGTTTTGACTTGTTGGGTTTTCTTTTCTTCTAGAATTGGAAAAGTTTTAAGCTGACTATCCAAAAATCAATATTCTCTCAAATCCTTTTAAGACACTATAGGAGGTCTAAGAGGTTTAAGCACTGTAGGAGGCTCATGAACATTGTATCATCAGAAGTCTCTTACTTCACACAGAACTTGTTTTTCTAGATGGTATCGTACACTAGGGCATTACATAACATCAAAATTACTGAGTTGCTTAAAACAACTATTTGTTATATACTCCAAGTTTTTCTGCTGAGAAGTCACAAGCTACTTCTAGAAACTTATGATCAGTCTTTTCTTACAATCCATGAAAAATGTTTTAAGGTTTTAAAGTTTTCTTCAAGATTGGAAGATGTCTATTGTAGTCCCAAGTGGAAGTTACAGAATACAAAACAGTAGTGAAACTCAAGTCAAACACTTGTTTGAAGCAATTCACCACAGTAAGTTTCAATGCAGACAGACTTTTAATTTATGTTCTAGCACCTTGCTCCCAGAAAAATTACACTAAGTAGGAGAGTGTTTCTGTAGATGTAACTCCACAGTACTTGTCAAGCACAGCTATGGATCTCTCATAGTACTTAGAATGGCTTCCCCTAGAACAAGACTATGGAAGCATGGAGTCATATCTACCTTGCACTTAATTCCTAGAAGCCCAAACTCTTTGTGTCAATGACTCATCAAACACTTGCAGTAAGCAGACAAAACTCCATGTAAAAATCATCCAAGTAATACCACTTACCCTTTTCGATAAATTTTTACTCAAAAGCTTTAACCTAGGATCACCATACTACTGCTGACATAAAAAGGAAAAGGAAAATCTAAAGCTTAGCATAGACTTTAGAACACATGTGAAGAGATCAAATAAAGTTTAGCAGACAGCCCTTGCCACACTGTAGCTGGGAGTCATCTAACACATGCAAGTCAAAATCTTGGTCTATCTCACAAGAAGATTAGAATCTACCAATTATATCCTTCCACCATTTACAAAATTTCATCAAAGGACACTGAACATCAAGGTAACTCCAACAGGTAGTATTTACTTACTAGAGGAAGAACTACAGAACAGATCTCCAGGTTACTATCAACTGTTTCAACCACATTCTTTGTGATACAAAGCAAACTGTATTGGACAGTTTTCAATTATAACACTTTCTGAAAAAGAGTTTTCCTTCCAAACAAACTGACATGCTTTTTTAGAGCATTTACCAACCATTGATCATTGTTCAATCACTAAAGTACTGCGAGGCATGTTCTATTACAGCTGGGTTTAGAAATAGTAACACACTAAGCCACTATGGCTTCAAAGCAATTACTAGACTGATTTCCTAAGAAAAGCTTTTAGGCTGCTGAAATCCCACTTCAAGATACAGTTTTTTCAAGCTTCACTCTAAGAGGGACCTCATTTACCATTCTACCAATACAAACCCATTCCACTTTTATATCAGTCTAGCCAAGAAACCAGGTGGGTATGAGAAACAGCACTTTTCATGGGAGCTAACAACTATGCAAAAAAACACAAAAAAAAACCAAAACCAAAAACTTTTCTATATTTAGTTTTACCAGTAAAAAGCAATGCAAGGAGCAAAGTAATGATTAATATTCTAAAATATCAGTTAAATCACAGTCTCCACATTCTTGTTACAATTAGAAGTGACTTGGATTGAAGGACAATGAACTAAGTGCACCAATTATTAATACATTTTAAATACAGCTACAGGAGTCAAGTAGGATCTATACAGTTATCTGTCCATTTTCAGTAGTCACAAGAAAATACTGGTATTCACATTCTTAAGTACAGAAGTACATTTCTGCTCATCTCGTCTGTTAGAAAAAAGCCACAATCAAATACTCTCCTAGGAAGTAAAAAAATAAAAAAAAAGAGGGAATAGTATTACAATGGAAGAGTAGAGATGCTTAACTTTCTCCTCAGCTGTTATGTCACTAAGCTGGGCAACAGCAGCAGGGGACTAAATGATGTATGAGAAGCATTGTGTTTTTGTGTATGATTTTTGGAGACTTCTGACAAATAAGTTACTATTATTGTTCACTTTAACATAGCTCTAGTTATAAAACTAATTATGAAAAATTGTACCTACTCAGACTAAGATGACGAGAAAAATATTTTAAAACCATGTTTAAATCTCTACCACCATCTGGAGGATATGCTATGAAATAAGAGGTTTGTCCTACAGCATTTCAAGCAGACCTGTCCAGAAAGGCCAAAAACAAAAGCAGTTTTCTATTAGTTCAAGATTTACCAAAACATTCAGCTAGCCCAAAACACCTTACAGAAATTCATCAATCTATCAGTCTCACAAAACTATAGCAAACAGTCCACAGAAGAGCTCGAAGATTATTCTACCTTATGAGTTGTGAGGTATTTGGTCTGTTAAACAAGGCTTTGGCAAACTACAAAGAATAGAAAGCAAATACAAATCAATTCCACTATTACAAAGTAAGAATCCCTGTGCTAAAAGTTCCTTTTTGAAAACAGTCTTCTTACTACTTTTGACTTTATTCATCTTTATGCTGAGTGAAGCCTGTTCTTGTTTGTCACTACCACCAGCAGGCAATAATTATCCTATAATTTAACGAAATAAGTCCACTATTTGAAATAATTTCCTGATCTAAAAAAATATATTCAGAAGAACCACAATATTCTAAGAGAAAAAACTTCAAGTCTTTGGAAAAGCGACCATAAGTAGGCAAACACCTGAGTTTCCACCATTAATTGAAACAAGCATTTCACGTAAACTGTGCTGAGCACACTTCTATACCCATTACATATATCCATCAGTAATAGAGCTTCTCATAAGTTCCATAAGGACCAATAAAAAACTAATATGAGACTATGCAGAGGTTTGGTGACTGGTTACTTTATTTCAGTCACTTCTTAAAATTTCAGTCTTATTTAGGATTACCACTTTTGAGTCAACTCCTCTATGCTTCTCCGCAGTAACTGTTACTTGGAACACAAGAGTTGCTGAATCTGAACACTCTGAAAGAGTTGCACTCATGGCTGCATGAACTTTATACATGGTAGACAAGTTTCACACTGCTGCATATGTTAAGTGCCATAAAAGTTACAGAAGAACCACATGTTTCCCTTAAGGGACCACTAAATACACACATAGGAAACACGTGAACCACAGATTATATAACAGAAACCATCAGCCTTTGATGAACTGGCTTCAGCATATTTACATTTTTAGGGGGCTTTTGAAGATAAATATTCTCTGAAGGGCACTGAGTATAATACTCATATTTAACCAAAAAGGGATAGCCCAGTATGACCTCTAAAAAACTTCATGACTTCACTTAAAGGTCCTATTGGGGGAAAAAAAAAAAAGCTGAAATACTTACTGTAATATCCATAAAGTACAGTGTCTTCAATTTGCCTTGAAACATTAGCATCAGCCCAGATCTAGCAATAAAGGAGAGAAGCATTTATTATCAAATGCAATAAAAAAAGACTACATGAGAATCAAGCATTAAAAGACAAATAGAGGGAAAGAGATAAAAACGCTACTTCTAAAGAATTCCATACTAGAGTGAAACAACAGTGAAAATCACTGGGCAAACAGGAATAAGCATAGGACAGCTTCACAAAAGGAAGGTTTTAGACCCAGAGGAACATTAAGTAGTTTTGGCAGCTCCCCATATGCTCTGCTAATTCCCACAGTATCTCTATAAGAGTCTCTGAAGATAATCACAGAATGGTCTAGGTTGAAAGAGACCTTCGAAGATCTCCTAGTCCATCCCTCCTGCGACAGGCAGGAACATCTTTCACGAGGTCAGGCTGCTCAAAGCCCCATTCAAGCTGACCTTGTAATGCTTCCAGTGATGAGCACCCACAACTCCTCTGGGAACCCTGTTCCAGAGAACCATCAACCTCACCATAAATTCTCTTTTAGCTAAATCTACATTCTCAGTTTAAAGCTGTGTTTTCCTCTATGTCTACAGGCCCTGGTCGGAACTGTTTCTACATCTTTCTTATAAGTTCTCTCTACACTGAAAGGCTGCAACATCTCCCCAGAACCTTCTCTTCCTCCACACTGAACAACCCCAACTCTTTAAGACTGTCTTCACAAGCAAGGTGTTCCAGATCCCTAACTCTTTTTGTTGCCTTGTTTTAACAGCTCTCTTGTGCCATGGGCCACACAGTTGGACAAAGTACACAATGTACACAATATTTCCACCAAAGACCAACTTTGTTTAAAACTTGCATACACAGAGGCAACAATACTTAGACATAAGAATAAGAAATAACTTTTTATTATGATCAGTTATATATAATTCATTAACTTTTATTTTTATTAGTTATTACATCAGTTTAAGCTATCATCTCCCTGTTCACAAGTACAAGACGTCACTTTTTTGTTTGACCAAGACTTGCATTAATGAATATTCAACTTAGCAGTAACTAATTTTAAAGTCAACTTCCAAGAGCACTTATATCCCTTACTTGAACAAGAGCAAAAGCAAGAGCACTACTCAGTCCTGGGGAGTAGCCCAGAGAATGGAAGCAATGGAAGTGAAAACACAACTCTTAACTATGCTGGAAACTGCAGTCAGCCAGATGGCTGAAATCAAGTTCTTGTGCCCACTCCCTCTCCTCCAAGAAAGGAATTATTGGTATAAGAAAGTTAAATATTTTATGACAGAATGGCTGGCAGACAAACTCAGGGATTGAATACAATTGTCCAACATTGCCAGTACAGCTAAAACATATTTCAGAATTGTTTTAGTTTTGTGGGATCCAATCTATATGTGGTCAAGATCAGCAAAGTAGTTATCCAGAAGAATTCTTTAGAAGTTAGAGAACACACCAACATAACTGAATTGGTGAAAAAAAATAAATATCCAGTACTGTCAAAGCTCTCTCATTTCTGTATGCAGGCTTTCTTTAAACTGGTAAGATCAATCTCTTTTAGTTGTAAAGATGCACACACTAACAGGGAGGTATGAAAATGCAAATGAGCACACTACTTAAACACTGCTCCCATAGGACTTAAAGACACACTGGCATCTGATTTATCAGTTCTCTCAGCATTGCATAATGTCTTCTCAAATATGGGCTTGATGACATACCATGAACACTTTTTCTGTCTCAGAAAATCAGCACCACCTTCCTTTTTCTTCCCATATTAAGACTTCCAGTAGGTCAGTTTACATTAAGTTTTTAAATTCCACTGTATCAACTAAATTAGATTATCATCCACCTGGAATCTGAGTAGAAAAATACACATCCATTTTGACATATAATCAGTAAAAAGAAAGGATGAAAAGAAAGGAGCAAAATGGGCAAAAGCAGCACCTGAAGTACCAGTCAGGTACACAATAAGCTCAGTCTTTGAAGACTGACAGACTCACACCCAACAGCATTTTAAATAAGAAATTTCTAGGCATTTGTATTAAAATATACCACAAAAGAATTTGCTAAGAACACAATACAGAACATTTAAATTGCCTCATATTAAATGTTAAGAAAATGCTTGCTTTAATCAAGCCTAAGGGAAAACCAAGATTGAACTGGATTGTTCACATTGCCTGATTCCAAGTAACTATTGGAAAATAAAATTATGAGCAATGGAGACATTTAAAATGCAGAAAAAAGAACAAGCAAGAAAAGCAACAGCGAGACCCAAAATTTAAGAGGCACAGCCACTGTACAGAAGAGGTAGCCAGTAATGGAAATATAACATGGTTTAGCTGCCCAAGAACTACCTCTCCTTCAGCTACAGAAAAGCACTTTTAACACAATAGAGAAGCAGAACTTTAAACATTCTAATTGGTTTTCTTTTTGTTTTTCAAACTAGGTTGCATACAGGACCAGAGTACACTAGGAAACATACACTACACCACATTAAAATAGTGAGTTGCTATATTACACTAAACAAACTTAAGTTGCAAATGTGTGCATTTCACCATTACTTACATCTGCCTCAGCATACAAACTTTGCATTACTCTGCACAAGAATATGTAATGCAAGGCAATTTAACGGTATATCATAATTATTATGTCAGCTTTCAGTCAGCTGCCGAAGCCTCACATTTAAACAAACTAAAAAGCAAAATGCTCAATTCTAACTGGCAAATTATCCATATGCACACACCATCAACACAAAGACAGTAACCAGTTCATCTGAGCTGTTTCAAAGGCTAGTGACAACAGCACTGTCTTGTCAAAAGCAAGCACTGTCTTGTCAAAAGCAAGCACTGCTACCTAATGAGTATCAGAGCTCTGACAGTCTCAGCATCTCTGGTGACATACTAAGCTGCTAGGTGTAGGAATTCACTCAACTAGTACATCCATTTCCTCATTTGGACAGCCTCTAGATCTAGTCTTTTTCTTTTCTATCCATTACAACCCAAGCCTACAGTATATACAGCAAATGGCTTAGGAGCACAATAGATTAGGGAGGTCAAAATTCATACTGCCTTCAACAAACAGTTTAAGGTGTCAAAACGGGACCACAAATTCTCTTAGGACCTGCAGAACTCAGGAAATCCGCACTGCTGTGCTGTACTTCATTTTGTTCCATGCAGTTTAGCGAGCTTATATCACCTTTAAAATACCTGTACCAATGCATTGCACTGAGAGACAAGGGAAGCTACAAACTGCAAACAACTGTGCAATGAGCATGATGACCCATATTAAATTATTATGTATGGATGCTAACTATGAAGCAGGCAGCACAGTGCCTGTGAAATAGCAGGCCACATAACTTTCTCAGTCTCGCCTGAGAAAGTGGCCTGGGAAATCATAAGGAGGAATTAAAACAATCCTCAGAGATAGAAAACAGCCTTGCAGGTGCTGTTTGTCTGTTCCTTGTTTTCTTGCAAGAGAAGGTCGAGGGGTGGTGAACCCCACTGACCAATGATGGTGATGTGTTAGTTCACTAACCAATAAGAGTTTTACTTTTCTGTACTTTCACGTATCGGTCTATAAAAAAGATCTGAGGTAATAAACCGGGAGAAATTCTCCTGTCGACTCCCAAGAGAGTCTGTGTCATTCTTCTCGTCGTTCCCAATAGAGCGACAATTATGCTTAAGTATTTTGTAACATAAGTCATGTTAAAGACAAATGTAAAAAGTACATGTGCTAGTAACATGTTGCTATGTAAGTAAACATAAAAAAGCAGCTTAAGACACTTTAAATTTACCTAAATGCTGAATCCAAAGCAAAGTTTCCTTAGAAGATTAATTTTATAATTACATTCATGTAAAATTAGTTATGAAGAACACTTGCTACTGCATTAATCATTAAGCAGTCTTTCTTCTCCCAGCAACTCTGTCCAGTTAGTGACTCATGTTAACAGATTTCCACAGAACAGTACTATTCAAACTGTACAGATAACTTCCCCAAATAAAATCACTGCAAGTTAATCTGACTTTCCGCCCATCTTGGTAAGGGAACAGCCATGCATCTCATTATTTTGTCCCCACTAAATTTTACATTTCTACTGTCACAGCTGGACCCTACAAGACTTTCATGAGTGCATTCCCTGCAAATGCCCCTTAACAGAGCTTAAAGTTATGCAGCATTACAAGTTTCAGTGATAGTGATGTTTCGTCAAATGTAGATGAAGCACTCATTCTCTGATCAGCCTCTCCCAAAGCTTAGACAACAAAAGGAAGATGCAGGATGAAAGACTGGAAAGCGAGTTTAGCATGGTTAGATATGGAGAAATTTCATATATAGATCTCAGATCTTCCAGTCTGTTACCTTCAAAATGGGACAATGCCACGATTTTGACTGCCAGATGCAAAGTAGCATCCAGAATCATGCACATCTCAGCCCCACCTGCCTAGCATCAATGTTTTGGCCAAGTACTATTCTTTATAAGTAGTAATTCTTGGGAAGGAGGCATGGTCTTAGTCAATAATAACATCTCAGTTAACACCTATCTAAAAATAAAAACCCTGGACATTTCTACGGGTTTTGTATTCTGAGCATCTACATAATGAGTTACTCTCCTCTCACCCTGGTAAAATGCAAAAAAATCTTAAATGGTCTGCAAAACTGTTTCAAGCAGTCTTCCTGCTGGAAGACAAAATCAGCTATACTCTAAATATTTATGAGACTTGTAGGTCAGACCAAGAGGTCTTGGGTTCCTGCAGCAATATTATGTTTTTAAGCTATGGTGAGGTTTTTTTCCCTATGTTCTTGTAAGTCCAACAAGTTTTCAGATCAAACAGATCAGATGCAGCTGGATGTATATGAAGTCCTTTGAAACAAACTAAAACACTGACTGTGCTCACAGCCAAAACCTTTGAGCTGAAGTGGTGCTGTTGAACATTATCAGGACTTCACTTACAAGTGATACTGAAGTCTTTATTAGTATTAAACCAAAAGCCTCTTCTACTTGACAGTACTATGAATCAAAATAATCCCACCCTCCAGAAAAGGTGTCACAGTGAATTCTACAGTGTAACTACTGTGAAAAACTTGCCAATACCCAACCTGCCCAATTTACTCAGTATAAAAACTTTAAGATAATACTTGATAAGTCTCAAAATATGGTGAGATACACCATTATGTGCTAAATGCTACAAGCCACTTTTTTACCATAAACAATAATTTGTAGTAATTGAGATATGTATAAACAGTATCTTTACAGTCCTGTTGAAATGAACAAAACCTCAAGTTACCAAAGGCTGAAGAAGGCATAGCACACAGCCCTTGTCAAGGAAGGCACTTCAGAACACATGATGGAGGAAAAGTGCTATACGACACTTTAAAGTGAATTCCTCCAGAAAGCAGCATAATATTCACAGCCTTCAGAAAAAAATACTCTGCTTGGGTACAACAGTTCAGCCAATCCTTGTAGCCAGAACATACCACCTCTTCCCTTGTCACAGAACATACACACAATTCACAATGACAACTTTAAACCATCAAAGCCTTCAATTTAACCTCTGCTGTTAGTATAACGTGATTATCCCTAAGTTTTCAACAAGCTTATTCCCCTTGTAAACCCTCAGCTGTATCTACAAGTTGACAGTAGGGTCAGATACATTAAAAACGAACTGAAAGTCCACATATAGTACCTCTTTCAAGTTGAGCACCCTTGTTTCTCATCACTCAACAATGACACCAGGAATTACAGCTGGGAGGTAGAGGAAAAGTGTACATACAGAAGAAAAATTTCTTACTTAGCATATGGGTAATTGCCATTACTCTTTTGGCATCAGCTTTGAAATCTTCCAGTTGGAAGGTTTCTTGATGAACTACTAATTTATCTACAGAGAATACTATCCACATCTGCTACCTGGATCTCCCTCAAAAAGTCACTGAGGAGATTAAAGACTTAACTCACTCTGTCTGTCCAAAGCAATGGAGGTTTCTTGCCAGAGCCATAGTCCTTCGGACCCCGGCATCAATTACAGGGTCTTGGAAGTGTTGGTTTTGAAAGCACAGTCCAGAGAAAGGCCAGTAATCTTCAGGAAATAGTCTAAACATAATTCAGTCTATCCTACTTGCAAAGCAATTGCAGGAAAGACGTACATGTTACCGAGGTCAGTTTAAAAGCTTGAACAATTCATGAAGACCACACAACTATAGAAAATGCTGAGCTTGAAAGGACCATCAGGATCACTACTCCCAACCATGTGCCTCATTTTAAGATGTCATCAGCCTCCTACCTCAACATTACCCCTGAACTGAAAATACCAAATCAGTAAAACTGGTTTGTAGGTTCTAACTGATTTCAGATTCACTCAACTTAGGTCACATCAGTATTTCTATACCATAATTCCAACACCTGTGTTTGGATCAAATGCATTAATGTTAATAGATCTCCTGTTATTTATTTCTGCAAAGCTAGAAACTCAATTCAGCTGAGACTTAAAAGACAGAAGAATGCTTCTTCAAGGCAGTATGGAGCAATTGTATTTCAAGAAGCCATGAGAAGTATCTACAAACATTAGGAACTAAACAGGACAAAGACGCCTCAGAAATAGAGGCAAAAAGGTGCTTTAAAAACAAGTCTTTAGAACAAGCATGAAAGCTTGCTCTTGGTACAATTTTTAAATAGAGTCTATCCACCTCACCATATCACAGCATGTGCCCATTAACAAGGAATTCCAGCCCATGAAAAACAGTATTATAAGTAGTTATCCTCCTAGTAATTGTATTTCCTTAATTAAAAATCTGTAGTGACTACATGAGACCACCTTTGATGACCTGCTCTCACAGGTTTGTTTCTAATTAGGCAAGGTATACATAAGAAAAATGTGTCCTTTGCAACAGTGAATTCTGCTTAGTCCCCAGCAGATGTGCAGCTTTCAGCTGGACCTAGCTGCATCATGGTTTTTTCTCTGGTCAGGCTCAGTGTATTTAGAATATTATTTTCACCTAATTGCTAGAGCCCTGACATAAGAAAGACCTCTTCCATCTTCTGTTTTCACTTTAATTCTAAACAAGCAAGGTCTGAAAATACAAACTTTTCAAAATAATATTGAGTAACAGCTTAATTTATTCTGTATTAATCCTGAGCAATAAAGATAAAAGACCCCCACCATAACTATTCTAAAGGCTTATTCTCAAGTGCCAAAAATCACCGTATTAGCTGCAAGTTAGTTTTGAAGCATTACACAGACCTGGCAAGACCTGTATCTTCCTCTGGAAGTAGAGCTGGAAAGGAATACAGTCTGGTGTGCAGGCATTTACTTTTCTCCCACTCTATCATTTTTTTCAGGATTATAACTTTAACTATAGATCCAGTTAGGCTCTAAACTCAAGTAAGTTGCTATTCAAGTTAGCTACATGCTCCAGTTTGACCTCTTATTACTCTCAATGTCCTCACAAAGACACAGGGTCAATACCTTCAAGAACTCTTCTTGAAAATTAAAGTAATATTTGAAGCATTTGGAAGCTCTCTTACAGAAATGCTTAGAGCATATGACAAGCAAGCAGTCATCTCATGAGGAAGTCATTTTTTACAGCAACCCCCTACAGTTTATAAATGCAGTAGTTCAGTTAAGGCTTTATCAGCCAAGAAGAGATACTACTGCATTCTCCTCCACCAAGGGTTTCTGCAGCTTTCAAAATGCTTATTAATTCAGGCTTTACATTATAGGTAGATTAGCACAGTAAATCTTTATAAATCCTTAATTGTTTCAAACTTTTTTTTTACTGACAAAAAAAGACAATTAAAATAATCCTAAATTACAAAGGGGCAATACATTCTATTTTTGAACAAAATTGTAAAATTTTATTCTACAATGTCCCATCACAATACTCTAAAAAGCAATGTTTAAGCAATTTATTTATATCTTCAGGACACTATATTTACTCTTATGCATGACAGAAGGAACAAGCAGTTGAAAATGGGTAGAATATCTGAGAAAGAATAAAAGTCAAAACTGAAATCCAGTTCAAATACCAGACATGAGTGTTTTATGCACTGTAAAAGTACCCAGCTTTGAGAAAAGTCAAGGCACTAAAACAGGTATTAACAGTGGTTTCAAACACTTTGACAACCTGAGAGCATTCTTTCACAACACAAGTGCTTGCTTTGAAGAGACAATTAATATTTTTGAAAGTCCATACCTTAAATGTACCATTTTGGTTTTTCATGTATGAGACCAAAAATATGTCCACTGGCAGGAGCGCTGATGTGATAAGAGCAACAGCCAAGGCAAAAATTGCTGTTATGGTAGAAATCACTTCACTTTCCCGCCGACTCTGATACTTGCGAACATAAACCCAGCAGAAAATTAGAATGGCCTGAAACACACAGGGAAAAACACTTGTGAGTTGTATAATAACAATGTCAGCAAGCAGGCATTGATGTTAGACCCTATATGGATGACTGGCATAGCATCAACACACCTTTTACCTGAACACTCAGCACCAGCATTATATTGACCACACCAAAGTCACTTTTCCTCAAGAGCAGCTTGAGCAACAACACCAGCGCTCACAGACAGAACACGCGAAAACACAAAGAGCGCGGCTCGCCGGGCAGGAGGGCAGGGCAGCCCCCGCTCGCAGCTCGGGGCTCTGCTCTGCCCTGCGGCACCAGCGCCGAGGCACCCGCGGGAGCCGCAGGGAAGCGCTCGCGGCCGGAGCAGGCTCAGGGGCACGGGCGAGGAGACCGGGAGGGATGGCTAGTACTGGAACAGCGAGCGGCCGACGAAGGAGTAACAGCCGGCCCAGGGAAGGGAAAGGGATGCATGAGAGAGCCGCCGCAGGGCGGGAGAGCCGCCTCTCACCAGCANTGGGCGGGGAGCGTGTGCGGGAGCCCCGCACCGCGGTGCCTCTGCCCCGGGCTCCATTTAACCGCGACAGTGACAAACTTCGGGCAGGGTCGCGGTCTGATGGGAAGCCTCGCTTCGGGACGCCGTGCCCGCTGTGAGGGCAGCCGCAGGCCGGGAGGGGTGGCGGGTTAGGAGGTGCCTTGCGCAGCTCGTGTTCCTGAGAGTGTGGATTTGGTGGCACGGGGAGTGGGAGACCCTTATCTGCAAGGTGCTGCCACGTGTCTTAGTCTCTACTGTGCTCTAAGCGCTGCATGCATACAGTCATGGAATCATCAAGGTTGGAAGAAACCTTTTAAAATCGTCCAGTCCAATCATCCGCCCGGCACTTGCCACTGTGACCCCGAAACCGCTAGATCATCACCCGGCACCAGATCCGGACAACTCTTCTGCACCTCCAGGCATGGCAACTCCACCACCTCCACGGGCAACCTACTCCAGTGCCTGAGCACACTAACAGTGAAATTTTTCTCAATATCCAATCTGAATCTCCTCTGTCTCAGTTTAAGGCCGTAAGGTTGGGTGCAAAGGCCTGCAGGAGTGCCCGGGGATAGCCTGGGCCCTGTCCGGAGCCTGGGCCCTGTCCGGAGCCTGGGCCCGGAGCCTGGGCTGCTGTGCCGGGTGTCTGCTGCGTGCACAGCCAGCTCCGGGGTGGAAATGTTCATGTGCCTTTGCTGGTTCCTCAGCCTTGGTACAAGGGGCTCAGAGACCTAAGCAGGCAAGGATGGCCACATTCATGTCCTGAAACTATGGACAGGTTTTCTGTGTTTCTGTTTGCTATGAGAACAAAAGTACTTGTGCCAAGTATGAGGTTGAAATTCAGACTCTTTTGTTTGTAGCCTTGTGAAAAGAGACTCGTATGGGCTGGAGGAGCTCAGCCTGGGAGGGATGAATTTCCAGGTGCTGAGGCCAGTAGGGGTGATGGAAGCTCCTGGTATCAACAGTGTTTGTGTACCATGTGTGTGGCCAGGACACACATGGAAGGACTTCTTGTGGGCTCCCAGCCTGGGAGATGTTGATGAAGGGGCTGTGAGAGCCTCATCCCAGACTGGTCTTTGCCTCTGCTAAGACTTAATTTGTATGAGGGAGCATTTATATGGGACGATAGTGGATGGTGTTGCTATATGGTGAGCCATATCCAGGGCATCTGAAGTGTATGCTCAGGTGGACAAGTTCTCTCAGGAAAGTGTACTTGATGGTGTGCAGGGTGGAATTAGCTTTGTGACAAAGTGGCTGATAAGTTTTCTGGGCTTCAATTTGCTGTGACAGTGTTGTGACAGCACTCACAAGCTATGTGTGGGGTGGTTGGGGCAGCAGGAGTTCAGATAGACTTGCAGCTTTGCAATAAAGGGAACTATGTGTTTGGGAGGACAGGAGAATCAGAAGCTTTGCCTCGGAGCAGTGGATACATGCAGTATTTCTATATGTTGTCAGAGCAGTGTGGAAGGCACTGTCACAGGGCAGCATTCATGAAACGAGTAATAATGGAGCTGAGGAGGGTTCTGGAGAGCTTGTAAACCTTGCAGGCAGGTACCTGCAGGGACTGTGTTGACTCATGGAGGTAAATGTTGCTTGCAGGGCAAATACCTGTGCCATATATTAAGTTACTGTGAGAACAGTGCAGGTGGAAGCAAAATGAAGTGAATATTCACAAGGTGGCTGGATGGTGGGCTGTGGGTTCAGTTTTTAGGTGAGCTTGTAGCATTGCAAGGAAGGGTCTGCTGGTGGAAAAGTGGTATTGTTTGGGAGGCTCATTCTGCAGTGGCAGGTGTTTGTGCTGTGTTTTGTTCGGTGTGAGGCCAGGGGCAGCAAGCAGGTGGCTGTACAGTGACTGTGCAGCTCATGAGCTAAGTGGATAGTTCATGACAATCCAGATGAGCTTGTAGTCTGATAAGAAAAGTGGCAGATATTATATAACTATAATTCATTACAGGTCAGTAAACAAATAGTGTATGTCCTTTCAGTTGTTGGAGGTTTAGGGTTTTCCCTTTGTATATTTTTGTATTATCTCCACCACAGGAAACATTGCCCTGGATGTCATTACTATTAAATATGTATGTTGTAATTCAGAATTGCCTAAGAACCCATGAAGAATTAAAACCCTCGAAGAACTACATTAAAAATAAACTATTCCCAAGAGGGAAGGGAAGTAATTTGCCTTTGGAGTATATAAAGTTTTTATGTTTTGTACACCACACCTTTACGAATAAAATATTGATATACCAAACATCAGGGACCTGTAACTGTTTAAGAATTAAGGCTGCTGTTAAAATTAAAAAAATAAATGCTATAGCTCTATGCTACCACAATTCTTTTTGTTTTGACATAAATGGTAACATGAATATTTAACTTGCTATAGTAAATAAGCTGTAAGTGTACTTCAGCATGATCAAAAATCTTTTTCATTCTAAACAGCTGAGTTCATATAGTTTAACAAAGATTTTAAAAAAGTCAACTGCCCAAAATTATAGTTTCGTCTAACAGAAAAATCCAATCTTTGAATCTTTTACTTTACATTTTTTCAATAAATGGTAATATTAAAGAAATTGCCATCATTCTGTCAGATCTATTGTTTTTTGGTAAATATGGTTGATAACCTAGTTTTAATTGGGAAGTGGGCAAGGTTTTCTAGGTTTCAGTAAAAAATGTCATGTTCCTGTGTGTAAAATGATTACTGTAATTAATAAAGGAAGATCTTCAGTTTTTGTTAGAAAGGAACAGTGCTTTTAGGTATAATGCAGGCAAAATGGAAGTTTTTCTTATGTTACCACTATGGTATCTGAATGTGTTTGGTTTTTTTCAATACCATGTCACCACTAGCATTCTGAATGTTTTTTTCTTATTCCTTAAAATTCAGAGTTTATAAATTCAAATAATTTTATCCCTTATTTCAGTAAAATCATCAAATCTTTATCTGAAGAATTATCTACAAACAAAATTCAGAGGATTGATTTAATTCATTTTTTTTACCATTGGGTGGAACATTGCAGATGTCAACTACACAAAAAAATCTTTTTTTTCCCTACTATTTTTTTTTAATTTTTTTAAATGTTCAAGTAATGACCTTTGTCTACACATTGTGCCAACAAAACTCCTATAAACATGTCTTAAAAATGGCATTCAGTTGATGTGTTGACTCTAGTGAGGAGGCGTTTCACCCATTGTTACAATTCCTGAGGAACCTAAGACTAACATTTTTCATGCCTGTATTCACACAGCTCTTTATGTAAGAGAGTGTTCATGGATAAATTTATGATCAGATTTCTGAGTACACGTCTATTGACAGCATTACTCTTGAGAATACATTGGTTAGATGTTCCTTGACATATCAGGGCCATGTTTGTGTTTCTCAGTCACTGTAGACAGCTTCTAGGGTGGCTGGATGTAGTGTCCCAAGCCTACCTGCATTTTACTCAATTGCAGTGTTATGTGATGGGGTAAAAACAAGCAAGGACAGAACAAAATAAATTACATAAGGCAGTGTGTCAGTAAGACTAATCAACGTGAGACCATGGGCCAAGAAATAAGAAATGAGGCAACTGCTCACCAGCACAGAAGAAATACTTCCACTCTGTACAAATAGAAGAGGAGGTGAGAATAAATGTACTTTTTTCTGCAGAGACTTGAGAGAACGTAGATGGTTGTGGTATGAGCCAGCCAGTGAAGTAGCATCATTAATACCAGAGTTATTGATCACCTACAAGCTGAAAGATAGTGTGGTGCCACTTTGAGTGCTTGGGATCCTCATGGTCAGCAGTGCTAGTGTTGGTTGCATTGCTGTACACCAGAGCTGTGTTTCCAACAGCCAGGTTAAGCTAGCATGGCGTACAGAAAGATCTCAGTAGTTGTCCCTGTTGTGCTGTTCTCTCCTACACTTCAGTAGTGGATGTGCACCTTTTAGTGCCTACACACAGAAATTTGTCTTGTGCTCTTTCATGCTTTTTTGCTCTTACTAATAAAAGCTTTTCATCAGGGTGCCATCATGTGCAGAAAGATCAGTGAATGCACTAAAGAGTGGTAGTGAAGTACTTGTGTGTCATCATGTATGGAGTCAAGAGTAAGAAGAGTATAAAAAGTGATTTCTGTAAGGGTTTTCTGGGCACATTTGTAGCAGGAGTTGTTAACTGCAAGCTAAATAATTGTCTCTTTAAAAAATTTTACTGTACATAAAAAAACAGGGAGGATTTTTGCAAGTCATTGTGATAATGTGTGAATGAAAATAGAATAAGTAAGAAGAGAGTGCTCTTACTGTATTCCTCAACAGAATCTGATAGGCATTGTGGTGGTAGCAGCCATAGTGTGAAAAAATAAAGGTATCAGTGTACTTCCCTAAATATCATTCTCTTTCCCACACAAGATGGTTGCACAATGCCAAAAAAAAGGGATTACAAAAATTTTGTGTTATAAAGAAAATACATAATTTTAAAATAAACTTTAATTATATTGTTTATGAAATAAAGTCTTTGCTAAAAAGAAGTGTTATAGTAATTCTTATATATATAGGAAATAAATACAAACTATAGAAAATGTCTTAGATTCTACTTCATAACTTGTGGGATTTACTTTTACTAAAGTATTCATGTGGTAAAAGGACAGAAAAAGAAGATGATTGGTATTATAGAAATTAAAGTGTATGAAACAAGACACCATCTTC